GGAATTTTAGGGTAAAATAGCTAAATTTTGAATTTTTGTGTACTTTAGCTAATCTCTTGAGATGCTCTTAGCAATATTAAACTTACTGACCTCAATTTCTTGCCTAAACAAGCAAAACATCTTAAGCTTCCAAATAAACCAGGCTATCTCTTACTCAAAGTTTCTTTTAATCTTTCCATCTGTAGTCGATGAGCCATACCAAACGAGTAGTCCCGCCCCTATTGACCCCACCTTTTGTGTGAAAGTGAAATTCGACCTGTTTTTGTTTAAAGATCAAGAGACTTTACGATTCAGGATCTTTACACCACAGTAAAAAAATACTAAGGACCTCAAGGGAAACTGACAAGGAAGCAAGGGTTTTGCTTTTGGTGAAAGGCTTAGTGTTTGGGAAAAAGGTTGAAACTAATAAAGGATGTTAGGGGGATAGAACAGGGAGATTTTGTGGCTTTTCCCGGGGTGTTCAGGCAATGTGAACAGTACCCATGGACTGCTAATGGATACTTTTGGAGGCTGGGTAGGGTCTTGAGCGAAGGAGTGCTGGGCTTGGTGAAGTAGAAGTTTTGGGCTTGGAAAGGATAGGATTTCAGGTATGGTTGCAGGTCTAAATTGCAAATTCAGAAACTTGAAATTGAAGAAGAAAGGAAGGCGAAGAAATCAGGAGTCACAACCAGGGCCTTTGGTCTCACACAAAAGAAATGATGACTCACACATCCTAGACATATGGTTAAATGGATTCCTTTCTTCATTCCCCATTCACAACAATGCTATAAATGAATAGATAGAGGCTAAGACTTGGGGACCAAGACGTGAAAAACATTTATCAACCATGCAAATGCGACATCCGAGCACAAAATTGAGGTTGGTTAAAATTTATGAAGCTCTATTTGGTTAAACTAGTAGCCAAAACCTGAAGGCAATGACAAATACTAAGGATTATTATGTCGCGGTGGATAAAATACCATAATTAATGTGTGGAGAATGAACTCTCGCATAAAAAACATATAGTACCTTTGTAAATTATATATTCGAATACGAAGTTAAGTTTGGTCAAAGTTTGAGAGGTCTAATCAATAAAACTAGTGGTCTAATTTCAGATGTGACAAATGAGAAGAATTCTCGTGTCGTAGAGTATAGGGACACCATAATAAGTGCATGGAGCATGACATTCCACGTGAAGAACATGCATCACCTATGCAAATGCCACACCTGAAATTAAGATTGATCAAAATTACAAAATTCTATTTAGTTAAATTAGTGGTAGAACGTGAAATAAGAGACAAATACTAAGGATTATTGCGTTGCAACGGATAGGGACATGAATCCAAAGAATAATCACATAAATACTAGGGCATTACTTGATAGCGCTACGTTGTACCTGCACCCGGTTATTTCGAAAAATGGGTAAGGAGCGCCGCAATTTAGTCACTTGGGTGTGGTGAAAAAGTCACAAGGGTTCTAGTCCAAGACACTAAACTTAGGTTAACAACTTTGAATATAGGAATACTAACAGGCAAATGAATAGAGATAGTTGAAGCCATGATTGGAAGAAAAGATCGACATAGAAATGGAGTAGGAATATAATTATATTCACATCTTAAACAGAAAATGGCAATAGTTCTTAGGAAAGGAGATAGAACAATATTACTTAAACTTGTAATAAAAAGAAATATAATTAATATTGTTAGTGCATATGCACCTCAAATAGGATTAGATCAACACTTTAATACTCAATTTTGGAAGGATATGGATGAACTAATGAGAGCAATACCTATAAGAGAGAGCATACATAGGAGGAAACTTTAATGAATAATGACCATATAGGAAAGGATTGGGTTGGACATGAGATGAACCCTAATGTACATGGATTTGGAGATAGGAATGTTGCTGTAGATTTTGTCTTAGATTTTGGTATAGCATATGATCTTATGATAGCAAATACGTACTTTAAAAAGGGGGATGAATATTTAATAACTTTGAAAAGTGGATTAAAAAAAAAAAACAAATAGATTTTCTCTTAACTAGAAGAAGAGATCTTAGAACATGTAAGGCCAGTAAAGGCATCTCAAACGAGAGCTTAACGACAAAACATAGGATAATAATACTAGATATATTTCTTAAAAACAATATAAGACATAAGAAAGATGTTTAAAAACCAAGAACTAGATGGTGGAATTTGAGAGGTGAAAATATAGATTTGTTTAAGAATAAAATACAAAAGTAGTGTGAAATTTAGAAGATGAAACAAATGTAATGTGGAATACGATGGTAGGAAATATTAAAAAAAAATATTGAGGTTCTTGGAGAATCAAGAGGGAATGGATCATAGGTAAGATAAACTTGTCAGTGGAATGATGAGGTCCAAATTGTAGCAAAAACAAAAACAGAATGCTATAAAACATAGCAAAAAAAGTAAAAACAAAGAGGACTTTAAAGTTATAAGCTTGCAAATAAAGAAGTAAAAGAGGATATAAGATGCTAAGTACAAAACATATAATGATCTTTATTACAAGCTAGACACAAACGATGGGGAGAAAAGTATATATAAACTTGCTAAGTTAAGAGGAAAAAAAAACCTGTTAATATATCAAAAGTATTAAGAGTAAAGACTCTAGGGTTTGGTACAAAACAAGAAAATTAAAAAAATGGAAGTATTATTTTGAAATATTTCCAAATGAAAATCATATAGGGAGCTTAGACATTGAAGACTATAAAAATCAAAGAGAAATTAGAGAAAACACATTTTTTTCGTAGGATTAGGATGACTAAGATAAAAGAGGCATTAATGTAAAAACAGGGAATGCTTTTGGACTTGATGGTATACCTATTGAGATTTGAAAGTGTCTGGGGGATGTTGGGGTATCGTGGTTAATATAATTAATTAATAAAACCATAATGACTAAGAAAATGTCTGATAAGTGAAGGAAGAGTATTTTAGTACCTATGTATAAGAATAAGAAAGACATACAAAGTTGCACAAAATATTGGTGTATTAAACTAATGAGTAATACAATGAAACTTTGGGCGAGAGTGAGCGAGTAAAGATTAAGATTTGAAATAAAGGTTTCTGAGAATCAGTTTGGATTTATGTCAGATAAATCAACAATGGAAATTATATACTTACTTTGAATATTAATGAAGAGGTATAGGAAAAAGAATAAGACGTTTAGCGAAGACATATGATAGAGTTCATAGAGATTATTATGAAGGGTTCTAGAACACACAAAAATATTAATGTTAGATATATTGATGCGATTAAAGATATGTATGATGACTTAGTGACTTAAGTGGGAACAAAACTTGAGAGACTTCTGAGTTCCCAATTACTATAGGTTTACATCAAGGTTCGACTTTGAGTCCATATCTTTTTGCGTTGATTGTAGATGAAATCACATGTCACATTTAGGATGAGCTCTCATGGTGTATGTTATTTGTAGACGATATTGTATTAGTTAATGAAAATAAAGAAGGCATGAATAACAAACTAGAAATATGACGAGAAACTCTAGCATCAAAAGGATTTAAGATAAGTAGGCCTAAAATTAAATATATGAAATGTAACTTTAGTAAAAAGAGAAATCAAAACAGAAAAATAATAAAAATTGAAGATCAAGAGATATCGAAAAATATATATTTTTAGCTTGGGACAAGGCGCTATGAGTTAAGTTAAGTTGGGTTGAGAGCATATGAAAATCATAACGAGTGCGTGAAGCACCAAATTCCAAGCAAAGAATATATATTAACCATGAGAATGTAACATCCGAAGTCAAAGTTAGGATGCTCTAGAAGATTAAATTAGTCATCAAAACCTGAAAGAGGTGACAAATACTAAGGATTATCATGTCGCAAAAGATAGAACATCATAATCAATGCATGGAGCATGAAATTTCGCATGACAAGTATATATAACGATGCAACATCTAAATAGGACTTCAAGGTAGGCCAAAGTTAGGATCCTCTCATTTATTAAACTATTTGTGAAAACTTGAAAGAGGCGACAAATACTAAGAATTATCATGTCGCAGAGGACAAAATATCATAATAATGTGTGGAGAATGAAATTTTGGATGATAGACATACATCACCCATACGAATGCAACATCTAAGTATAAAGTTAAAGTTGATCAAATTTAGGAAGCTCTATTTGTTTAAATTATTGGTTAAAACCTAAAAGAAGTGACAAATATGAAAGACTATTATGTCCCTAAGGATGAATCACCATAATCAATATGTGTAGCATGAAAATTCCATTTGAAAAGTACATACTACCCATGAGAATGTGACATCCGAGCATGAATTTAAGATGGTCTAAATTAAGACACTCTAGTTTGTTAAACTGATAGTTAAAACTTGAAAGATGTGACAAATTCGGAGGATCATTGTATCACAGAGTATTGGGACGCCATAATAAGTGCGTGGAAACATGAAACATGAAACATGAAAAGCATATACAACCATTGCGAATGCGAATGAGATATCTGATGTCGAAGTTAAGGTTGGTCGAGTTTATGAAGCTCTATTTGGTTAAACTGGTGGCTGATACATGAAAGAGTTGACTATACTAAGGATTATCTTGTCACGGATGATGGAACACCATAAGTAGTGCATGGAGTATGAAGTTCTGCATGAAAAATATTTATCACCTATGTGAATGTGACATCCGAGTATGAAGTTAAGGTAGGTCAAAGTTAGGATGTTCTAATTGGTTAAATTAGTGTCCCAATCTTGAAAGATGCGACAAAAACGAAGGAACATCATGTCGATGAGGGCGAAATACCATAATCAACTCGTGAAGTATGAAATTCAGCATGAAATATTACACATGCGAAGTTGCCATACAATGCATCACTAAGCTCTTGGTGCAAAAAAGTTCACTATAGAAACTGATTCTCAACCCCATAAGGAAATAACTAAAATGCCCCTTCCAATTTAGGTGTGTTGATATCCTAGCCTTGGTCTAATAACTTCTAATTTATTTAAAACTTAAGAAAGAATCCAAATAACTTAAGAAAGAATCCAAATAACTTTAGAATACCGGCTTCCTCACATACTTCACCTTGAATTTGAGCCAAAATTTCCCTATATCTATCTGTAATATATTTCCCCCTCCTCGGGGGCTTCTTAGCTTCTTCAACACTTTACCAGCCAGATCAATGAGCACCTTCTTCCCTGGTTTTGCAGAAAATTATTAAAGAGCCGGATTTCAAACAATTTCTAAAGAAAAGCAACAAGAATCAAGAAATTGTTGATATCGACACTAGTTGTTGCTTTGTATTTGACATCAAAGTCCATAAAGAATGCCATCGTAGCTAAACATCATTTGTTAATGCCCAACAGACTTACTCCTTTTATGGTGTTATAATATAAATTATGTGTATTCAAAAAAATGTGATAAAGACTTGAAGTTGAAAAATCGATCAATACAAATCAACTACCTGGTGCTCAAATAATATATTTTTCGAGGAAATCTTCATGGATTTCCTTCAACAAGATGACAACCACATTTTTGCATTTGTTGGAAATAACCTTAGAAGGAAATTTAAAAAATATATGGAAAAAATCTCCCCGTATGCAGAATAAGCTTGCGTACATCTTACTGTTCCCAAACCCCACAATTTCAGTTGGACAATGGGTTGCCTTTTTTCTCCCCCTTCAAAAAAACCAAACTGAATGGGTTTCTGTATTTTGAACCATTATATTTTTTCATGTTCAACCATTAAAAAACAGCTTCCTAATTCTTAAAAAGGGTTTTCAAAATTTCAATTTAGTTCAAATTGAGAAAAAAAGTCTGAGACATGCATAGATTAGGGACAAATTAGAATTTCACATTTAACTGTCTAACAAACAACATATAACATGGTTTGTTGCTGCCTCCAAGTTTCTTTTCAAAAGAAATAAGAACCCCTGGTGACCAAAATTTACAAAGCATAATTGCATGAAAATAAAAATACTGAGCCTATAAACACCATTTACAAGAACTCAGAAATGCAAAAGTTCTCACCATTAAATAAACTAATCCCAATAGTAATTTCAATAACATGACTTCTTCAGAATGTGATTTATATGACATTTTGACTTTCAATTCAAGCTTTCACACAAAGAGTATGTCCTTTTTAGTTTTTAAGGGTACACAAAGCATATTTTATTTCTTTTGTGAAGCATTGATTAGTCTTTGGTACTCACTCCCAATACCAGATCCTGAATCAAGTCTGCAGAAGTGCTTTATTTTTTTTTTGAAGAGTTGAAACTTGTATTCCTTAAGCAGGTTTGGAGCCAGACTGTCTTTAATTGTTCATGCCAACTTTCCCCTATGGATTGCATCTTGATCGTATGTACTAAGTATCATACATTACAGATAAGCTAAGAAGCAGAGACATCTCTAAAGGGACTGTATTCATACCAGGAACACTTACGTAGCAATAACATGCTTGGGAGAGTATTGGACACGAATCCAACACTCCTCTGAATGTGTCTACAATTAAGGACTATATTAACAGACAAGTAACTGATACCATCGCTGCCTATATATAAGTTAAAAAAAATATATACATGGATTAAATTTCTCTGTTAAAATCCATAAATTTTGTATCAAACCCATCAATCTAGCAGAAAATTAGAGGCAAGAAAACCAATCGTCAAAATTGATACACCTACCAACTGATCACATGCGAATTATCCCTAATTGATGAAAAGGGTGTGAAGGGAGGGAATTACCATAAAGAAGTCGAATTTTGGGTATTGAAGCTGTTGTAGAACCGAGTAAGCCGCCGCCTTGTCTCGGGTTTTGGCTTTACAGGTTTTTTCCTCAAACCAAAGATTTCTTGTACCAGAGGAACGTGAACTAGAACTAGCTTCCACGCCAAAAACCAGCCTGGAAAAAACCCATCAAAGCCTCTTATTAGGAACAAATCTCAACATCTCACATCATAAAACAACATATAAATAGAGCGCGCGCACGAGAGAGAGAGACCTAGAAGAAGTAAGGAGAACACGAAGGTGATGGCGAGAATGGGTCGGAGGAAGAGGAGATTGAGATAATCATAGTAGGAGAGAGAGTGCCCTGCATAAGAAGAAGAATCCATTGACACCGATCAAGATCCAATTTGGGATTCCCAGATGAGTTGGGGGAAATTTACTGGTTTCGATTTACAGGTTTTTTTGACATCTTTGGACGAGAAGGACATGTCGTCGAAGCAATGTATCGAAGAATTATAACGTCAATTTGGTAAGTCTCGGTTGACTAAAAAAATTTCTGAGAATCAATCCGGAGAAAGTTCCTGCCGAGGAGTTCGGAGGAGCAGGGGATTTTTGATCGAGTTCTGTTCGATTCTAATTAGTCGACTTCGTGTTTGAATTTCAAATAAAATTTTATTATGAGTATTCGAGTCAATTTTAAATTCAAATCAGAGATTAATTTTTTTTAACAAAAGTTTTCAAAAGATAAATCATAAAACTCATTTATCAACTCTGAAATAATTGAATTTTAAAAATATATATATCTCAAAATTTGTATAATAATGAATAGAGCAGCCCTTTCTGCTTTGCCCTTGGGTTAGTGACGTATGGCATGAATCTTCTTTGCATAGATATATAGAGAAACAAGGAGTGACAAGATTTGAAGGATAATTGACTGAAATTTTGAAGGATGATATAGGAAAGGGAAACTCAAGGAGTATCAAAAGTTTGTGAAATATTAGTTCAGAATGTTCACCGAGCTTCGTATCCAACAACGAGCTAGACTTATTTTCTAGAAACTTACAAAGACAAGTCAGAGACCGAAGAAACTTTGTAGGTTGATCCTTTAATGATATAGTCAGACAAAGATATTTAAGGGATCAGAAGAAGCTTTTGTTTGTGCTTGATTCACTTACCTTGATCTCTTGCATGGCCTCCCCTGTTATTGGCTATATGGTTAGGCAGTTAGCGGATCTTGCTCTGCCTACTTGAGTTAAGTTGATTACTCCACTTGCTTGATCCAATCTTGTTGGCTAAGTGGAAGTGAAGGTTGAGTTGAACTAATCAAAATCTTTCAGAGGTAGGACTCTACCGAGCTCCAGGGTTATCAGGGTGGTTATTTGTCGAGCTGGAACTGATTCGAGCTATTAAGCTCGACATTACAAGCCCGTGCCTTTTTCACTTTTATTAGTTGCCCAGGTTTAACTTGGCATGACTTGTACTTGGTCCGCATTTAATGTTTTTCATCCGTTAGTGCCTCAGGAAACAACATCATGGCTCGTACGACTGTAACTGCCAAAGAGCCGTTGTGTAACTGAGATTTAAACACGCTATCTCAAGAACTCGTCTGAGAGTCCGGATACACTTTTCTTCCTCAATCTTGATCTTCTTAATTTTTTTTGATTTGCTTGGACTCTTCAAGTCGGAGTATTTAGGTTGGAGTCATACCTTTTAATTTTATTTCTACCATTTTTGTTTTCTCAAGTGGAAGGGTTTCGATCTTGATCACCTAGACCTTTTCGTGGATCAATTTTCTCAACTTTGGCTTGAATTTGTCTTCGATTCTTGCTTAACTCTTCTTTCTCATAGTTCTACCTGTCTTCCCACCACCTAATTTGTACATTCTTCACAACTATTTTTCAACAATAGGTGATTCAAAGGCGAACTCTCTCAGGGAACACCGCGTCTCTTGTTGCCAAGGCCGATAGGGCCAATGAAGAACCAAATTTCATCTTGAAGATTGTTTCCTCTTCCATTGTAGTGGTGGGGGCAAAACTATTCCAAAGCTCTCTTGATGATACGACACTGGACGAGATTAGGGAACTCTATCAGATTCCTCATTCTATTCGCCTTCGTCTCCCCTCTCTAGAAGAAACTACTAACTCTTTTTGTAGGCAACGAATTCTATTTTTATGAATCGATTTTCGAGTGTGGCCTTCGATTCCCTATACTACAATACATTAGAGAAGCCCTCCACTACCTAAACCTTGCCCTTTCTCAGTTAATTCCACACAATTGGGGGTTTTTTGATTGGCTTCGGCTTTCTTTGGTCAAGAACCAATGGTGTTGCTGCTCATCCAACTATAGCAGAGCTCTGACACTATTACAAGCTCACACCTTGCTCTGGGCAAAATAAAAGGTGGTTCTATCTTTCGAAAAGGGAGAAAATCAAGCTCCTTTTTTGCTATTCCTCTGGCATGAAGGAATGGAAGGACAAAATTTTCTTCATGTCTAGGCCTGGTTGGGAATTCGGTCCTTCTGATCCCCTTACTAGAAGACCATTTTTGGTCCCTAGACTTTGGGGATCACCTCCTCCTTCTCTTCATAAGTTGTTTGGTTCTTTCTTTTGGCCTTTTCTTTTTTATTTTTGTGGATTTATACTGATGTGCTTTTCTTGGTGCAGGCAAGACTAGTCATTTTCTACTGAGCTCAAGGTTCAGATTGAGAGGGCTTTGACTTATTGATGAGAATACAAAATGTCATATTTTTCTTTTTTCATATTTAGTCTTTTATACTTATTTGGTGCATAAATGTACTCATTATTATTATATTTTGATTTAAGATACAAATGAAGACGTTAAATGCAAAACAAAACTAATTGGACATTTTGGACAGTTTCGATATTGTTTCTTTATCTGGGCATAACTCTCTCATCCGAGCTCTGATTGAGATGATTCAAGATGCTATGAAACGCTAAGAGAATGATCTACAACTTTCATGTTTTGAGTTGTGAGAGATATTGACTTAATCAAGGTCAAAATCAGGTTTGAAGTTGCAGCTCATGCACTGTTCATGTTCTGAACCTGATGCACAAAATTCTAGTGGACTTTATTTTATTTTTACTCTCCTAGTTATATTAGAACTTTACTTTCCTAGTTATATTAGGACTTTACTTTCCTAGTTATATCAGACTTGAAGAGGTTTTAGGAAGGAAGGAAGAAAAAAATCAGCAGACTGGTACGCGGCTATATCTCCTTCTTCTCTAACTTTTTCTTCTAGTTTTCATGATGGTCTTGCGTGGCTAAACCTTAATACTTGGTCGAAGGAAACGGAAGCCTCAGAATCAATAAAACTGTGAGATCTAATTTGTTTTTATTGTTTAATTTATGATTTGCGTATTGGATGTTCTGTTGTACCTATTTTTATGATTGCATCGTTTAATTACTAAGAGGTCTACTAGTTTATTATTCGTTGTAATCTACTGCTGGGTTAGATATCAAATCCGTAATTATTTGATCCCTCTAATTTGTGGAGCAACTAAGATTTAATGATTTGCTGCATTAGAGATTATTATATCTTAGAAAGAACATTTGACTAAATTAAATGCATTTGCTTGTGCTTGTGTTGTTTAGTTTCATCGATCTTTCTAATTCTTAATGATGCTACTAGATTAAATTTTTAGTGCTTGTGCTTGGGTTGTTTAGTAGTTAAGGTTAATTAGATCGCTTGTTTTCTAATTAATTGCAACTAAGGATAGGAAGATAGTTCCAACGGTGAATATTCAGATAGTGAATTGATATATACTTGTATCGATGATCAGTTGTAAATTAAATTTCGATGGTGGATGTTGACTTAGACCAAAGTTTGTTCTCTTGATTGATTTTGATATTTTAATTTGAATTGTTCTTTAGTTGCTTTTCTTAAAATTATTTTCGTTAAACTCAAACCCCCTTCCATCCTTGTTCAGGAGGCATAAAACTAAGCTATATACTCTCCATGGGAACGATCCTTACTTGCACTACTACATGTATTTTTAGGAGTATAAGTTTTATTTTTGGTTGCCTGCGACAGCACACCACTTATCATACTAAGAGCCTGCCCCGACTTAGTTACTAACCAAGCACTGTCGTAGTGCCAATTGGGCCCTACTCCTAGAGTTGTCATTTACACCTAGCCCTTTTCCATCGAACGGTGAGTCTTCTTTGACCTCCCTTTTTTCTCTTTCTTTTGGGTTCTAATTTTTGTATCTTGCAAAAATGGCTCCTAAGGTTATTGGTAAGAAACTTTTGAAAGAGATTAAGGCATCCAGAGATCAGGTAAACAAATCTTCGCATCTCAAGAAACCTAGGTTGTCTTCTCCAAAGTTGAAGATAGCTATTTCTAGTTGTCCTACACCTACCATGATCATGTCGAGCTCGAAGACTCCATCTAGTACTCCTCTAGTGCTTCCAGTTGATTCCTCGAGAAATAAGATTGTTGGGGAGGTTGCTTTGGACTTTTCAAGCACATACAAAGAGGAGCCTCCTACTCCTAAAGTCCCTTTATTGCTCCCCAGTTCTTCCCTTGTTCCTTCGAAGGTCAAAGGGACTGAGAAGCTCCCTGAGGGCTAGTCTACTAATAAAGGGGAGGCACCAACCCCCTACAGGGTTTAGGCCTTCAATATGGGACAATGAAGAGGAAGCCATACTTCGTCTCCTTGAGTTTGTTGATAATAGTGAGATCCAAGTTACCTTCTCAATGGGGCCTGACTAGGTGGTGGCTGTTCTCCAAGAGACCTCCGAGAAGGTGAAACATCTCTTGGCTTTTTGTTGTTACTTTCTATTTCTCACTATTTCCACTTGTGAATAATTGATTTTCTTTATGCAGCTAGCCATTCTTTTCTCAAGTGTTTCTTGTACAACTTTACATGAGAAGAATTCCTGTGAGAAGGAGTTCCTTTGTCTAGTGGAGAAGATGGAGAAGCTACAAAATAGCTTGTTGGCTTTCCCAAGAGAGGGTCCTTCAGGAATTGAAGGAGAATTTGAAGCTTTTTGCCTCTAGAGTTCTGTTTCTAATATGTTTTCTCAAGTGGAGAAGATGAATGAGGAGAATGAGTCTCTTTCACTTAGGATTTCTGAATTGTCTTTTGCATTGAACACGAAAAAGACTGAGCTCTCTGATGTCTTGAAGAAGAAAGACTTGTTCATGCTATCAAAGTTGTTACTAGTCCAGCTGAGGAAGACTTTAAGGGTCTATCAAGTGGTGTTATTATTTTTTGTTAAGCATGTTACTATTTTTTTTTATAAAAGTTGATCATGTTACTAATGTTATTTTTTTAAATATTAATATTTAAAGCAATTATTTTTTTATTTTTGAATGTTACTTTTTTTTGTGTGTTTAAATGGTATTTTATGTATATATATATAGAGAGAAAGAGAGAGAAAGAGAGAGAGAGGGAGAGAGAGAGAAAGAAATAAATAGTCATATTCTATATATGAATATCTTTATAACAAAATAACTTACAATTTAAATCTCAAAAGATAAACAAAATGACTTTTGTTATTCGTAGTTGAGATCGCTTCAAATTTTATTTTAAAGTTAATCTAACGGCTAATATTAACACCTTAAATTTAATATAAAAAATAGACCCTTAATGGTGTATTTGAAATGACTTTTTAAAAGCACTTTTAAAAATTATTTCTCATATATACTTTAAAAAAAATAGTGTTTGAAACCACCCCCATCACTACTTCTACTACCACCGCCGCCACCACTACCATCGTCGTCGCCGCCCCCGCCTCCACCATCGTCGTTGCCACCACCATTGCCGCCGCCCTCGCCGCCACGGTCATTGCCACCTACCACAACCATCACTGTTTCCTACCACCACCACCACCACTATAACCCACCACCTCTTATCCCCAATATAAGCTGATGTTTAAATTCATTGATCTCTTCTTTATGTTTGCGATTTGCTTTTGAATATGAATACAAATATATTTATTATTTACCATTTTTTATTATACTGTGCCTTCAGGCACAGGTAATATCTAGTAAATAAATATGAGAAACAAAATTTTAATATTAGTCAAATTCTTAAAATTTAGGAGTTGTTAGTTTTTAAATTTATTTTAATTAAATATAACTAATTATGGTATTTTGGATAATGAAGATCAAAATGGATCAAATATTAAACAAGTTCCCTTGATGGACTTATCACCAAATAAGTCCACAAAGAGGGATCGTCCTTCAAAATTTTTATTTATATAAACATTCATAGCCCATTACCTAAACCCATATAGAGGTATTCAAGTAAACTACCTTTATATAGATAATTACTATCAGCTCTATAAAAAAAGAGGCCTAAGGGAAGGCCAAGAAAATGAATAAGAAAAGCTAAAGAGGAGAAGCCAATGAATAAGGAAGATAAAGAAAACTTTGCCCGAGTTCATATTAGAAGGAGAAACGAAGGTCAGTAATGAAGCTTTGCCAAAGTCTACCTCCAATTGAAGTGTTGGAAATCCATCTCTAAAGAGAGAGCACACCACCAATGTCTTTCTTCAAAAAACTCAAATCAATTTTAAGTTGATCAATACAAAGAACGGAGAGATAATCCACCAAAGTCAACACTAAATCGAAAATTGAAAAATAACACTAATCTAGTTCTTTTTTTCACCAAATCCATCAAAACATCATCAAATCAAAGATTGAAAATCATGCTGATCCAATCCTCATTTTCATCAAATATACCAAAGTCAACACTAAATCAATGATCAAGAATCACACCAACTCGACTCTCATATCATCAAATACATCAAAATCACCATCAAATTGAAGATCGAGAATCAGACTGATCCAACCCTCGTCTTCACCAAATTCATCAAGTCACAATCAAATTTATCAAAGTCACCACCAAATTAAAGATCAAAAACTACATAGATTCGGCCCTCGTCTTTACTAAAATTATCAAGAATCAAAGGATTGTGCCCATGGAAAGTACACCAAAGAGAGTCAATACTATTTTTCTATTCAAAAGTCAAATAATCAAATGATTGTAATTTGACAATATTTTTTGTATAATCTTACACGCAAAATTTGTCACCATAGATTTGGGACACTATCTTCCTTTCATCTCTCTAATAAAAAAATTCAGCTAGTCGAACAATAATTGTAACCAAAGACATCCTGATTCATCCCATAGGCAAGTCGGCAGATGTGGTTCAGAAGTCATTCCCAATAACCTGTGCTAGAGCAAAGGTAGACAAATCTCAACTTTTACCACCAATCGAGCACCACTCCAAACAATGGAAAAAATAGTTTTTTTTCACCCAAAAAGAAACAACATGTCCATTCTTCCATTGATCTGGAGGAAGAAACAGATGATTCTCTGTTCAACATATACTTTAGCACAAACTCAAGGACTAAATCCTACTCCAAAACTTCTCCTAAGTAGAAGTGGAGAGATTATTCGTTTGCCTCCGATATGACTATTCCTATCATGGTGATGGAAGTCACTTCATTTAAAGATCGTTTTCAATAACTCATTGATACAATCGAGAGGTGAACCAAAGCCCTTGATAGTAAAGAGATGCAAATTGCTGCGTTCATGGACCGACATGAATTATAAGAACCTTCAAAAGGGAACAATCAAGAAACTTCAAACCCATATGACACCAAAACATCAAAAAATACAAAATTTTTAGAACATCTACAGAAGCAAAAACAACATGACCGAGCCATGACACAAAACGCCATTTCAAGGAAATGTCGCAAAATGATTGAAAATATAAACTTGCATGGTATATACATACATACCCACACACTCCCATAAATATATATACATAGAGAAGAGTTGCTCGTTTGGAGAACGCAACGTGCAAATGAGAGTCATTTCTATCATTATAATTTATCTAAAGTTACAATTAAGAAGTTGAATTCTCAACTTATAAAAACACAAATACGATCAGGATTGATCTAATGGTACAAAATTTATCTCTATTTTTTTTCTTACTAAAAAATTCATATTCTCTACACATCCTCCAATGTTAATCTACCTCATTAATTCACACTGTCTCTCTCTTCTCTCTTTCCTCTGCCGTACCTCTCTCTTATTTGTTCTTTGTTCACTTTAAATTTAAATAAAAAAATTAATGAAAAAAAGAGAAAATATAAATTATTATTTAAAATATAACTATTATATGATTAATGCTCAATTTTTTATATTGTAAAGTGTCTTCAAGTATAGAATTATTGCTAGTATATGATATAAGAGGAATTGAACGTTACACTATTTTCAACAATATAAGAACACATATGTACTATTGCATAGATCTGTGCTCAATTTTTTGATGGCAAGAATATATCATACCATTAGTAACTATTTATCAATATGCATGCTATGTGTATGCAAACATAATCAAAATCTAATTTACAAAAAGATATGAGTAGTGCAGAAACTTCACATTTCCCTATAGTCAAACACCTAAACTTATGGCATACCTAAGAAAAAAAAAACTCATGAACTTATGAAAATGACTATATATAGTACCGAGAAGTTTTTTCAGTATTGTACCAAAAAAATACTATTGTTAAGAGTCAAGTTATACCTTCTAAAGAATAAATTATAATTTTTTATGATTGATTATAACATTGTGATCGGTAATGAATAACCTCAAACAATTAGTTATAAATTTACTTATAAAAGGTGCAACTTGATTTTTAAAAGATTTATTTTTGGTGATGATCACCAAGTTATAATCAATAACAATTTTTTTTAGTTATAATTTAGAGTCTTTTGAGTTGTAACTTATGTTGAAGCTTAAATATGCACCATCTACAATAATTTAAATTTTTTGAGTACATAATTTTTTAACACAATATTAAAGCATGAGGCTTTGTGTTTGAATAACTCCATCACTTGAATATTAAAAAATTCACACGTGCTAGGCTCAAAATGCAGCTCCCACAAGAGGTGTGTGTTGGGCCTTTGTAGAATTTAGTTTGTGTGTTGATTCGGATGATGATTCGATCCAAAATAATGTTGTGTTGTTTTTAATGAGAAATTTTCTGAAGCCTCCGCTCAATGGACAAGCCTCATGAGGGTTTGGGAGCAATGCTCCTGAGAAAAATTTTTTTGGCCTGTTTTGTAGCCCGGTGCACAAGACATATAAAAAAAACCTGTTACTTTGATGATTAGGGTTTGAGAAAAATTGTAAAGCCGCCCTCTGTATTTCTCATTCTCGAAATAGTGAAATCCCTACAACTTCGTGGACGTATGCAAATTGTCGAACCATGTAAAATCTGTATATCTTATTCTTTTTTGTTTCTTATTGCTTTATGTTCTTGTTTTGCTTTTTGATTGTGTGTTTATATGTGAGTTTAAAACATATTAAATCCCAGCAGTGTGTTGAATTAAAAATATTTAAATTACACTAGTATATATTTTTATAATAGATGATTGTTTAATGAGTAACATCTTCAAAATTTTTTAACTTGACCGGCTATTGCTTATACTTGGGCAACATTCTGATTGAGAAACTTAAATGTGATCCATTTTTTTTGTATTAATCTCTCTATATCAAATTCACACATGTAATAAGACGCAAATGGGTATACAAGGAAGAATATTACAAAGTTGATGTTTTATTAGTGGTACAAATACCAAAATTTGTCATTATCCAGTATGCTAAATACTAAAATCACATATAAGAATTTCAACCTCTTTCACTCCGATTAGAGATATACTATGTTTTGTTTTATCAGATAGTCTCTCTCTCTCTCTCTCTCTCTCTCTCTCTCTCTGACTGCCACGGGCAATACATTTTGGTGGTCATGAAGCCCTTTGTTTTCTATATATAGGTTCTACCAACACTTTTATAGGCATCAACACATTCATATTTCTTCTCTTCCCTATTCTTTGGGAGAAAAAGCATGGAGGCCTTCTTTACATATCTGCTGCCTTTTGCAGTCCTCTCTGTAATACTCTCTCTCCTCTTCCTAAATCGAAAACGGAATTCGAGTGGCTTAAACCTTCCACCAGGTTCGAGTGGATGGCCAATGGTTGGGGAAAATATGGAGTTTGTTCTACAAGGGCCACAAAAATTTGTGTACGAGAGGATGAACAAATACTCGCCCGAAGTGTTTCAAACATGTTTGTTGGGAGAGAAATTGGCAGTGTTTTGTGGGGCGCCAGGGAACAAGTTTTTGTTCATGAATGACAGCAAACTTCTCACTTCGTGGTGGCCACAATCGATGAAAAAAGCTTTGCTATTCCCAGAGTATGCTGACAATTCTGTGAAGGAAGTTGGAGCTCTACAACGTAGTTTTCTTCATGAAATTCTTAAGCCTGAAGCCCTTAAACAGTACATACCACTAATGGACGCCATGGCACGTGAACACGTTGAGACTGAATGGGCTCCTTGTGAAGAAGTTAAGGTTTTCCCTTTGTCGAAGAAGTACACTTTTGCACTAGCCTGCAAATTGTTTATGAGTGTGGAAGATCCTGACCATGTGAAAAGATTGGCAGATCCCTTTACTCTTGTTACTTCCGGGATGTTCTCAGTACCTATAGACTTACCTGGCACGGCCTATAATCGTGCTATCAAAGGGGGAAAAATGGTTCGCGAAGAGCTCCTAAAGATCATCAGGGCGAGAAGAAATGAACTAATGGAGAGCAAAGAGACATCAGATCGGGATCTATTGTCTCGTATGCTACTCATAACAGATGAACAAGGACAGTTCATGAATGAAATGGAAATTTCTAATAACATCATAGGTTTACTTGTTGCAAGCTATGAAACCACGAGTACTGCAGTCACATTCGTTTTGAAGTATCTTGCAGAGCTTCCCCATATTTACTCTGAGGTGTATAAAGGTAATAAATACTTCAAAACCTCGATTTAGTTTCTTCTTGATCATAAGTGTATACTAGGTTTATGGTTCAATACCACTAACAATTGGTTATTTTTAAATTGATTTGGCCTTTTTCTAACAGAACAAATGGAGATTGCTAAGTCCAAAGGTCCAGATGAGTTGTTAACTTGGGAAGATATTCAAAAGATGAAGTATTCTTGGAATGTGGCTTGTGAAGCACTGAGACTATCACCACCTGCTCAAGGAGCCTTTAGAGAGGCTATAACTGACTTTACATATGCAGGTTTTACCATTCCAAAGGG